ATAGAAAAAATATCTATCTTTATAAATTAATCAATTTTTTATTATTAGTCAATTACTATCTTATGATTTATTTATAGTTTTTTTTCCTTTTTTACACGTGATGTCCACGGATTATATCCTACTATATATATATATATATATATATATATATATATATATATATATATATATATATATATATATATATGGTTAGGTTCATGTAAGACGGCCTAATTTTGTAAGACCGTGAGACGCTTTTTTTTTTAATTTTTTTTTAGTTAATTCAAGTTTCTGAAAATAATATTTTAAAAAACAAGTTTTTGATTTCTGATCAACACAAGGTATATATCTAGAATATTAAAAATAGTATAATAAATATTTACATTTATAACTTCACATATTCTTTGTTCATATTCTGGGTTTCGTTGAGGTAGTCAAAGAAGTATTCCCGGCAGTAGAACATAGGCGATATGCTAGGCATATATATGCCAATTTTAGAAAGAAGTTTAGTGGAGCCAAGTTTGAAAATTTAGTTTGGAGAGCAATCAAGGCAACAACAAAATTACATTTTAACATAGCCATGAAAAAGATTGAAAAGTTGAATCCTATAGTCGTTAAGCATCTTATGGATAGAGATCCAAATACTTGGTTTCTAGCTTTTTTTAGAGTTCATAATTCATCTTGTAAATCTTTGGAGAATGGCTTTTCAGAGAGCTTTAATAGTGTGATTTTGGATGTTAGGAAGAAACTTATTATCAACATGCTAGAGGACTTTCTTATATATGTGATGCAAAGGATGGTTAGTATGAAACTAATAGGTCTAGGATGAAATCATTATTCTATTTGTCCAAACATCATAACAAGATTGAATATTCTTCAAAATGACCAAAGGTTTGCACACTTATTTATTCATACATACCTTACCTATCTCAATTCTAAATATTTACATTACATTATGTAGGCTGTGACATCCCCAAAATCACAGCCAGAAAAGACCGATTTTGTTTATGCTTTATAAAAATCAGAGTACTTCATTTTATAAAAAGGTTGCGGAATTTGTTCCCAGAAAAACACGATAAATACGTTATTAAAACATTTTCGAAGAAACGTATTTTTATTCATCTTAAAATGTTTGGGATGTCATCGTTAATACAGAAACATAAGCATAAACAGAACTTACAATTATTTACACTAGTGATCTACATCTCTTTAAATCTCTCAGTGTAATGTCACTTCACTTCGTCACCTATGATATACATAAACTGAGTGGGTCAGGTTGGGAAACCTGGTGAGTACATAGGGTTTTCAACCCACAATAATATAATTATTATGTTCAATCAAACAATCAAGCCAATTACCCATCCCCGTTATCTTCTTTACTCTTAAGGATTTAACCTAAGAGTCGTCTATCCTGCATTCGTTTATTCCGGAATCCCTTACTCCCAGGGTTATAGGACTGGCACTAAATCCATAGCTGCCAATGTTCGTTCGTAAAGCACTAATTCCATAGCTGCTATATCTTACTCATCGGGTACTAAATCCATAGCTACCAGTGCTCAACAGGTACTAAGTCCATAGCTACCAATTCCTACAGGTACTAAATCCATAGCTACCGGTGTCTAACTAATAGGTACTAAGTCCATAGCTACCAACTCCTAACAGGTACTAAATCCATAGCTACCAACGTCTGACAGGTACTAAGTCCATAGCTACCGGTGTTTGTCCCATAGGCACTAAGTCTATAGCTGCCAATGTATACTCACGTCATCTTCTATCTCTCATCATTCATCTACCCATCATCATACCCAACATATTCGTATATATAAAATACGTATACAGTTTAAATCCTTTAAAACATGTATAAAACGTTCATCCAGCATAGACAACAAGTATTCAGATAATATGCACACATTGCACGTAGTTTATATAAAATACTTCATATCTATGTGTAAGATGAAAGGGACTATGCACTCACTTGATAGGTGGTGACTCAACACTCGGACAGCGCTTCGATACTCTCAAAACAATTTCCTTCGATAAAACCTAGTATCAACACCACTAGGGTTTAGTCTAACGATAACCGCGACTAATTAATAGTATAGCTATTATTATTATATAAGCGTTAAATAACACTTAATATAACTCATAATAATAGCCCAAACAATTATTTTAAGGTCCTAATAATGTTACTGTAATTAATTAGAAGCTATATTAAAACTAGCGTAGGCGTATCTCACTTACAGCGGGTTTTTCGCAAAACCGGGCTTCGCTGGAGCAGTGTTTCCCGAGCCGAAAGGTTCTTTTCTCGGATCCGTCAGGTGCTCCGGGGCTTCCGCCTCGTGCTAGGGAGTTACCCTAGGCTTTGGGGGGTTAGGGAGGCTTAGAGAGAGAGTTTAGAGAGAGAAAGAAGAGGGTTGAGGTGTGAGAATGAATGGAACCCGACACCTCTATTTATAGGGGTGCTGAGTAGGGGGGACCTACTCGCCGAGTTGGTCCATGTGGTGGCCTTCTGGTGGTGCCACGTGTCCAATTCTGGTGGTGCCACGTCACCCATATCGCGTATCAGCCTTTAAACTTAGAAAAATCATAACTTTCGCATATGAGCTCCGTTTTCGACGTTCTTTATATCCACGCGTAGGTAAAATCAAGATCTACAACTTTCATTTAGACTCCGTCGGCTAATTCTCGACCAATCTCAAATTTAACAGTAGGAGGCGTTTAGAGTGTTAAATGACCGCGAAGATATCATAACTCCTTCATACGGACTCCATTTTCGTCTGTCTTTTTACCATTGAGTTCCTATTAATGAGACCTTCAACTCTCATTTAGGTCGCGTAATCCAAAAACCACTCGAACTAAAATTCGAGTTTCGGGTTGTATACTGCTAAGCCGAATCTTAGAAAAATCATAACTTCCTCATACGAAGTCAGATTTGGGCGTTCTTTTTATCGACGCTCTTAGTTTAACATATTCTATGAATTTCATTTATATCACTAAGGCTAAAAAGTCCTCCATCGTAAATTCACTATTTACGCTTCCCGGTGCCGTGCCGGTTCCGTCGCGAAACTTCGACGGGCCATAACTTCTTTGTTATAACTCGGATTTCGGTGTTCTTTATATGTACGGAAACCTTGTGAAATATTCTACAACTTGGTTAAGATTATTTATTCTAAATAATCTTTTGTTGAAAAGTCATTTTCGACCCCTATTGCCTCTAAATTGACTAGCCCGGATCTACGGGCGTTACATAGGCATTGGTAGGTTGTGTCTTGTGGGGGTATGAAGTCTGAAGAAAAGGAAAATGGATAAGTCGTACATTGTTGATGTCGCAAAAAAGGAATGCGATTGTAGGTTATGGCAACTAAATGGGTATGGTTGTGTTCATTTATGTAACACACCGACTCCTAGGTATAAGTTTTAAAGCATTTTGTACATGTTTATGGACTTACTCAACGAGTTGGTTGCTCCAACTCGTCGTGTAGAGGTGAGTTAGCCCGCGTGGATTATCGGAACTACTCGACGAGTCGGAGGACCCAGACTCAATGAGTAGGAGCTGGAAGATGAAACCCTAATTTTTAGGGTTTGCACCCTATTTAAAGGACCTTAAGTCCTTACCTCTATTCCATTACCACCTCTTGATGGCCACAAGAAACCCTAATCAATCTATATCTTGTTCTTAAGTGTTTGTGAGATTTAAAGAGTGATTTGGTGCATTTTGTGAAGAAGGTTTGGAGCTTAAGGAACTTGTGGAAAATAAGAGCTTGCGAATCTGACTCTATCTCATCTTGGCATCATTTGGAAGGTAACAAGTCGTTACCTTGACTTATCCCTAGCTAGATCTCTCCATGCTTGAGTTCAGGGCCATTTGATATTTGGATTCGTGTATGTAATTACATTATGTATGATCTTATTATATTACTGTGTACGAGGTACTTTAGTCATTACAAATGTTTAAACAAGTAGGGGTAGTTTAGTCATTTGAGATACTTAAGGCATGTTAATGTTAGTTTAGGGGTGCTTTAGTCATTCGAAGCAGTTAATCTAATAGGTGTATATTATTTCAAGTAATTACTAAATTAGGGGTATTTTAGTCAATCAAATAAGTTATCATTATAGGTATTATTGTCATTATTTTTTAAGTGACTTAACCCATTAGGGTTATTTTAGTCACTATTTTTTATGTGACTTAACCCATTAGGGGTATTTTAGTCATTATTTTTTATGTGGCTTAACTTATTAGGGGTATTTCAGTCATTCTTGTTTTATGTGGCTTAACCCAACAGGAGTATTTCAGTTATTATTTTTTATGTGACTTAACCCTTTAGAGGTATTTTAGTTGTTATTTTTTATGTGACTTAACCCATTAGAGGTAATTCAGTCATTATTTTTTTTATGTGACTTAACCCATTAGGGGTATTTTAGGTCTTCCATGCAATTATCCAAATGGGCAACCACAAAAACAACAAAAAAGAAATTTTCCATTGTTTTCCATTTTTAGGTTATAGACAACAACAAATTTGGGTGTTACATGCCTCGTGTATTAGATTCTTCTGTTTTTGTCCCATGTCCCTAACAGAAAAATTGGGGTTCATTTTTAGTTTGTTTAAAAAGATTGACTTTGTCATGTGGTCCCAGGAAGAGAATCAACAAAAAAATATGGTATTAATTAATCACACATGCAGATTCTGAGCAATAACAAGATTATTTTAAGTTAACTAACATCTCATCCATGGATTTTTGTTACATATTTACATCTATTACACAAGTTAAAACAGGATTTGTACATGCATCTTACTACATACAACCACCAAATATTACATGATTTGTACATATGATTACCATAAAAAATTGATCATCACAACAACATGATCACAAAAACACTAACCACGACCACCAAATACTACCACCATAAACAAAAACACAAGGAACAAAATGCCTTACTAATAAGGACATTAAACCATATGCACATCAAAACAAAATACAAACCCATGATAGAAATGTTGTAACATAAAGTTCTTTAGTCATTTTAAGAACTCGTGGCTTAACACCCTAACAACCCATTTGACTTTGTTGCACTTGTTTTTACCCAAGATGATGCTGGCATATGATGCTTGTAGTGAACACAAATGCTTCTTCAAATCAGCAACCATGTTAGACAGACCGAGCTGCTCTGCCCTAACATCATCAACTTCATGGTTTAGGGCATCCAAGTCTCTATTGATGTTGTGTCGTAGTTCACGAAGGTTGTTTGGAATCTCTTCACAAGTGAAACCTCTAACTGTGTCTGGAGCGGATTGATCGCCATGTCTTCATTGGAGACATTTTCATCCATGTGTCGACTATAGTTGGGTGACCAACTATGATTTGGAGATAATCGTGATGACATGGTTTTGGCAATTGGTATTGAAGTTAAGGGTGCAGTTGGGGTAACCACGTTTCGAATTGTGCCATTTTAGGTTACAATCTTTAACTTTTATACGAAGGTGGGGGAACAGTGCAACCGTGGCCTCTACATTTCACATTCCAAAATGACGTCGTTTTGGGTCATTGGATGTAAGTACAATTTGGCCACGTCATCGATGATGTGTCAAATTGGGACGATGTGGCTTGGTTACCGGGTATAATAAGTAATAGGAACTAAATTGTTAAGTTGCAACACACTTTGTTCCCTTATAAAGCCGCTTAAAAAGGTAAGTGACTAAAAGGGTAAACCCTAGAAATTTCATAGGTCGTATGTGTCATTTTCCCTTAGTATTATAAAAGGTATTAAATTTTTGTTTTTTTTGTTAAACCTAACGTTTTTGTATTATTTTTTCATAGCGTGGGCATTCGCCTACAATTCGTATTTCATATTCTATATAGGTAAATCTTTGTTTATTGATGTTGAAAACTCTTTATGGTTAAATAAGTCATGTTTTGTTTGGTTCAAATTGTTTGAATTATTACTTAGTTTATGTTGGCCACATAGACTTTGTAAATTATAATATATATGGAAAATGTTAATGTAGCATTATGAACATTGTTTTTGGTATGGTTTGACCATTTATATCTTTTTTTGTGCAATGTGTCATCTAGCTTATATTGTACATGTCAGTTAAGTCACTTTCGTTAGTTTTTAACAGATCATCTGTTAACCAACTATTATAAATTACATGAATGGTCCATATGATTTCAATTTCTTTTGTGCTTGGTCCCTCACCAACACCATCACCATTTCTAGCCACCATATATGTCGTCCTCTCCGACATAACTGGTTGAATCATCATCATCTTCTTCTCTGCCAACAAATCTAATACTAACCCTCCTCACAATATCCATTCTACCCCAAACAAAATCTTATTTTCCCAAAATCTGAAACCCACTCCGTCATCACGACCCCATATTCGTTCACTGGTCGCTGCCCTGACATCACCTCCAAAACCACCACCCAAAATTGTAAACATTTGTTTTCACAGTCGGAATCACAGAATAAGCATACTCCGCTGTTAAGTGCATTTTATGCACTATTGAAGCATGTTTAATTCATTCTTTTGCATTTCAATTTAGTAATAATCCATGCAATTTACTTGTTTTGGGGACAAAAACTTGGCACACTTTATATCCACATTTTATGCCATTTCAGGTGGTTCTGGAGGTTGGAGATGAATCGGGATGGCGAAAAAGGACCGGAAGAAAGATGCGGAATTTTTTGAGAAGAATTGCAGAAAACAAGAATTTGTCACAGAAGAGTTGACAAGGGTCGTGTAAATTTTCCTTAATAACTTTCATTGTTAACTTAAAAAATAATGTATTACGTGCTTATTTTTATGTATTTGTTGGTATAAATTAAGGTGATCAACGTCTCGACGTTAATTTAGAACTTTAGTTCATTACTTTTTTTAAAAAATCTACTTGTTTTTTTATGTACGTGTGGGTATATATTCGAGTCTATCTACGTTTTGAGGTAATTTTTTTAATGTTTTTGTGTTTATTTTATTTACTAGGCGAATGCCCGCACGTTGCATAGGAACACCTATATAGTTGAAGTCTTTACAAATATATGATTTTTTAAATATAACAATAACGTTGTTGTTAAATTTGATATAATAATTTGTATATACTAAATGGATATAATATATTAATTATTTTGAATTATATGATAATATATACATTTATTATAACTTAATAATCTCAATCGTTTGAATGACTTCTACCCGCGAGTTACACATGAATAAAATTAAATATAATATACGATTTGATGTTATTTATAGTTGTTTTTATTGTTAATTAATTTTTTAAAATTTATTTGCTTGATTTTTAATTTCTATCATTATAATTATTTAAAACATCAAACATTGTTTTTTTATGTTAAAGCTAAGAGTATAATCATTTATATAGGGTTGTTTTTAACTATTGTTATTGTAAATTATTTTAAACTATTTAGTTGGAAACTTTTAACGATTATCAAAATATATTTAATAAATATTTTAGTTAAATTGATATTAGAATTTAGTTGTTTGCTTTTATCACTACAATTTGTATTTTTCAACTATTTACAAAATATTCTTTAGTTTTTTTAAATGAAACTGAAATTTATATTTGAGTTGACATTATAATGCGTAGAAACACCTATATAGTTGAAGTCTTTACAAATATATATTTTTTAAAATATAACACTAACGTTATTGTTAATTTTGATATAGTAATTCGTATATTAATTTGATATAATATATTAATTATTTTGAATTATATGATAATATATAAATCTATTATAATGTCATAATCTCAATCGTTTGAATGACTTGTACTCGCGAGTTACACATCAATAAAATTAAATATTATATATGGTTTAATATTATTTATAGTTGTTATTTTTAGCTAATTTTTTAAAATTTATTTGCTTAATGTTTTAATTTCTATCATTATAATTATTTAAAACATCAAACATTATTTTTTGATTTTAAAGGTAACAATATAATCATTTATATAGAGTTATTTTTAACTATTGTTATTATAAATTATTTTAAGATACTTATTTGAAAATTTTTAACGATTATATAAATATATTTAGAAAATATTTTAGTTACACTGATATTACAATTTAGTTTTTGCATTTATCACTATAATTTATCACTTTTAACTATTTAGAAAATATTATTTGGTTTTTTTAGTGGAACTGAAGTTTATATTTAAGTTGACACTGTAATGTTATATTTAAATTAACAATTTAAGTATTTTGTCCAAACTGTTCAAAAATTGTTGCTTTAAACTGATAATGGTTTATATGCAACAACATTTTAAATATAATAAATTAAATATAATATGTTAAACTAAAGACATAACTTTATAAATAGAAGTAAAGATATTATTTTAAAATTGAAATTTAGTCTATTTATGATTACATTTTAGGTTTGATATTTCTTTAACCTTATTAACCAACTTACAATTATTATTAGAAAGACACTACAATTTATCACTTTTAACTATTTATAAAATAATCTTCGGGTTGTTTAAGTTAAATAAAATTTATATTCAAGTTGAGCCTATAATGTTATATTTTAATTAATAATTTAAGTATTTCATACAAATTGTTCAAAAATTATACCTTTAAAATGATAATGGTTTACATCCAACAATATATTAAAACTAATAAATTAAGTATAATATGTTAAAAGTTAAAAAATATAATTTTATAAGTAGAATTAAAGATATTATTTTAATATTAAAATTTAGTTTATATATGAATACACTTTAGATTTGATATTTATTTAACTTAATTACCAAATTATAATTATTATTATAAAGAAATTGAAAAGTCATGGGAGTTTCAAATGAATGTGGTGAAAGGAAAAAAGAATGGGGGTTTCAAATACATGATATTCAAGAAAAAATGTTAGCTTTATAAGTGTGTATGATGTTTGCTACGTACGAGGCGGATCATATAATATGTTTTTGATTATTTGAACTATTGAATTTATATGCCAAAAACTCATTATTGGGTGATATTGCTAATGACATATGATTTTATAGGGTCACACATTTATCAAGTTTGCACATTTGGTATATTTATTATTAATATGATAATTACTAGATAATATCAATTATTGTATTTAATTAGGGAATAATTATTGTTTTGTGAAAATAATAATTAAAATAGAGTATAACTAGTCATTATATCATATGATATGATTTAATAAGTCATGTACAAAGTTTTGGATACTTTGGTTAAACATGATTAAGTTAATGAGTTAACATACCACGGTTAAATAAATTAGCTAGATAATTTTTGTCATTTTCTTAAGCATGATCGAAATCACTTTTATAAGAGAAGAGTTTGCTTATCAACCTTCTTCTTATGTCCCCCATGCTTCTAAAATGCAACCAATATTTTATGTTATTATAATGCAATTGTATGTCTTGCATATGAGTATAAAAGGATGGTTTTTGCATGAGTTTGAGGCTAGTCTTTAGTTAGTTCTTCTCTCTTCTACATGGGGACCGAAACCACCTTTCCTCCTCTCATTTCTCTCTTTTTTGAAGTTAGTTTGGTGATTTGAAACTCTCTTGAATTGTCTCCTTTAGTGCTTATTTGATTTAAGTGTCTAAAGGCTTAAAACACTTAAGAATACAAGAAGGAATTAGCATTCCAAGTGTCTTAATCTTGATGGTGGATACTTGTAGAGAAAATCATACTCTTTGATTTTTTTTCTATCTTCATCAGCACCCCAATTGCAAGTGGGTTCAAAGGTTTCAAATGTTGTCATTCTAAAACACTCTATGGTTGTTTTAAATATCAATATTACATTTATAAATGGATCCTAGATAGTTTGGTTTTATTATAAACTTGAAAATAAATCTATTATTTTTAAAAGCTGCCGTTGCGGTTTTTATGAAAACTAATTTACATTTTGTATCAAAACTTATCATGAACTTCCAAGAATATGAAAGAAAATGATAATTGTTATGAACATTTGCACGAAACTTTATGTAGTATTTCAATTGAATCTTAACGGTTTGGTTTAAGTTTGATTAGTGACATTATAGGTGTGTTAGACATGAAGCGTTTGTGAGCGTTTGAGAGTTCTATCTTCTAGCGTTTGACAAAACGCTTTGTTTTGAACAGAAAGTCTTGTATGACACTACAAACTTCTAGCGTTTAATTTAAACAAAATGCTCAAAATCCAAATGTTATCTCACATAACGTTTAACAAAACGTTACCGACTACAAACTATTTGCTACCCCTATCAGCTAGTTTTATCGAACACGTCAAATGTATAATTATAAAGCTTGTTTTATTATATATTTTGGAAATGAATGAGTTATTGGAGCTTGATATTATTTTTTAGTGCCAACTTAAGCCACTAGTTGGATTCGGTATCGATTCATGTTTAACTCGCATATTAGATGGATATAACTTGAAATCGGATATTTGTTGCTATTGATTATTTATTGTTATTATTATTGCATGCTTTCAGTAATTTAGTTTTATTACAAAAACTGAACCCCTTTTTTCATGGTTACATGTTTCAAATTTTAAGAATGTAGAAAAATACATTTTATCTTTAAGTCGTGACCTTATGGACTCAGCCATTGCTTCAATTGTACTAATTTATATTGAATATAACAATGGTTTGAGTTACATAGTTTTCATTCTTATTCTTCTTATTTATTTATTTTTTTTGGTTGGTTTGATAACCCAATAGATGTTTCACGTTAAACCAGAGATTGTTGATGGTGTTTGAATTCTGAGACCGATAATGAAATTTTTTTGTTGTGCAAGAGGTCTTGTATATGCTTTAACTAATAAATAATATCCAACGTAGGGTTGTTAGTAAGATCGCGTTATATGGTCTCCATGTGTACCACTTTAGTTTCTAATGGTGGAACACAAACAAATAGGAGTCGTCAATTCTTGGGTCCGAATACCCATTTCGAATTAGGTGGGATATGTTTTTGAATTGCTAAATGTTTTGTTGTCTTTTATAATCCTCTACAAACATGTCTTTGTTTTATGAGTATCTCGTTTAAAAAATTACATCCAAACATTTTCTTGATCTCCAAGATTTTGCGATAATGTATATATGAGAAATCATTAGAAAAGTCTCATTATTTTGGTCAAAAAAATTATTTTTTGAATAGAAAAACCCAAAAAACTAGCAAATTTCTTTATATTAGCCCATTTTGACATGTTCGGTATATCATGTGATCAAATCGTCAATTTGTTTTCAAAATAATGAGATTTTTCTATAAATTTTCTCAAAAAATTGTTTATAATTTTTAAACTTATTTTTATGTATTATCTTAGTATTTTTTTTATGTGTTTTATGTGTTCTTTTTTTTTTTATGTTTTTTATGTATTTTAAATGTATAATGTATTTTTACGTACTTGTATGTATTTTGATATATTTTTTAACATATTTAATATTAATATATATTTTTAAGCTTTTTATAAAGCTTTTTTATATATTTTAGGTATTTTGAATGTTGAAAAGACTAAAATACTCTCCATAGCTAATGGTTTTGTGTCTAACAGTCTAAGAATAATGTAATTTACTTATGATGTATGAACCAGGGTTGAAAACCTCAAACGGTTCAAAACTAATTATGGAGACTGCCCCACAATCGTGTGTACATTTTTAGCAGCTTGGGACTTGGATTTGGAATGTTGATGTTATTATGTTTGATTTCCAAAAAACTTTGTAAGCATTTTCTTGCAATATTGTTTATTATCGAAGTGTTGGTTGTACTTTGTAGGGGTAAATTTGTCATATTCACATCATAATTTCTTCTCAAGTTTTGTGAATAACAATCTCAATTTTAATTCGATTTAGATTTCATGTTGCAATATTTATGACATAGGATTGGAAGAACCGGTCACATGGGTGCCAAAGGTAAATTTCATCATTTTTTTGGTAAAGTTTCAAGTTAAAATTACCTATATGCCCTTGTATTATTTTAATCCTTACATTCTCTTAATTTAAGGGCAATGTATGGATATACAACTAGTACCAAACTACATTTCATGTTGCAATATTTATGACATATCACATTCTTTATATTTTTTTAGGAAAAAATGATAAGTGAAAAAGAACATGATTCTAACCAACCGTGTGGAAGAGGACATGAGGAAAAACATAGATACAAAATGCAAAATGATATGTATTTAGATATAAATACATGAAATAATATACCAAAATACATAAAAATGCTTAAAATTTTATATAAATACGTAAAAAATACGTTTATAAATTTAAAATACATAAAAAAACCTTAAAAAGTACATAAATACGTAAAAGATTACGTAAAAATACTTTTAAGAAATACTTATAAATACATAAAATATGTTTATACATTATTATATATAAATTTTGAGAAAATATATAGAAAAATCTCATTATTTTGGAAAAATTACCGATTTTGTATCATGATTTGTTGAACATGTCAAAATTGGTTAAAATGAATAAATTTATCGTTTTTTGAATTTTTCTATTAAAAAAATATATTTTAGGACTTAATCCTTAATTTTCCCAAAATAAATATTTTTTTTTTTGAGATTTCACGAATACATATTTATTGTGATAATATAAATATTTAGGTGGCATTGGGGCATATTTACTAAAGTTGCATGATGGTTAGATATGTGGTTGCATGTTGTTTATTTAACATTGGATTGGTTATTTAAATACTTTTGTTAGTATACAAGATCGATCTGGATGGTACCATGATTCATCAAATTCCATGAAGATATGGTACAACCACACTTTTTTTTCTTAATTAAATAAAATATAATTATATAAAATTAATAAAAAGAAGCGACTTCATTAATTATAAAAATATACATAAATAAAAATACATTATCGAAACATATTAGAATAGTACATGACACTGATTCCCGCAACAACAACAGATTTAACGAAGTGGATAAGATGAAGATGTTTTCAAATTGTGAATATGAAGAATATAAGTGATTGATATTCGTTTTGTGGTTTTAAATATGAAGTGTGTGTATATATATAATAGAGAAAAAATATTTCTTTTTGAAAAAATCACGTATAATAACGGTCACAAGCAACAAAGAAACAACTACCGTAAAATCTGCTATTGTGGGATACCCACCATACCACCACACATCTGGGTGGTGTCGTGTTCACTTCACCACGACGGTGACACGTCACCTATCACACTGTGCGGTTTGTTTCGATATCGATCGGTCTAATTGTTTAAAGTTACCAATTTGTTGACATGTTTATGTAACTTGTGATCTTATCATGTTTTTAATATATAAAGTATAAACTGTTCTGAATATAAACCATTGAACTCTCTATCATTCTTTCATGTCTAACAATTTTCAATTTTCCTGTCGATGTGTATATGAAGAGCGAGAGACAGAATTCGTAGCATGTAAATAGAAGTCGTACCATGTAAATAGTAGGTAATGTCGCATTTTGATAATGTATAGGAATGATTCACTAACTCTAATTACAAAAAGCTAAAATAAAAAATTTATGGCACAAATAAATTACTCGATTAGTGAATCAATGTTCCTATGTTGGCTCAAGAAAGTGAAATGGATAAAAACAAAGTACTGATGCAAATTAATAATAACCACAACATACAAACTTACGACGAAATCTAATGAAGCGTTTAAAGATAATAAAATAATAATATGTTGTATTTTGACACTAACGAGTTCATCATATTACATCAATTCATTTTTGATTCGTTTGGATCCATTGTTTATTGTTACATCATTATACTCCACTTAGTAACATTGAGGACACTTGTTAAAAACAGTAATCGGAAAGTCTTTAGTTGCAAAGTTGCTAATCTTAAACTCGATTTGGTCACCATTCCTATTTACACTCTCAATATCAATCCAAAAGAATGCTATTTTAGCCTTCACACCACCTAATTCTTCTATTTTGTTTTTAGAAATCATCCCTGTGATTGTAGAACTATATCTGAGCTTATATTTGCCTGCACGAACAACACAAGTGCTACTTAAATCAACTGAAAACTCACCACTCTTAGGATCCAAATTATAACCAATAACACCTTCTGGAAGAAGACCAATAGGGAGGTTATATTTCTTTATAGCATCGTAGGCCGATGGTGGACCTTCCCCAAACACCAACGAAATAAAAAGACAAAAAGATAAGCAAATAAAAACCATTCTCATTGTCTCCCTTCTTGGTTTGTCAAATTTCATTGTTTTTGTTAGGTGATGGGATTCTATATGTTAGTCTTTTAACGGAGATGATATATAAAGAGATCCAAAACTTAGATTAATTGAAGTGCTTATTAGTAGCTATTGTATAAACTTAGAGTATAATTATTTTGATTACGTTTTAAGACATGTTATTTAATGTGGGAATCACTCGATTCACATGTTTTGAAACATAACTTAGATTACGTATTAAATTATTGATTTCTATGTTCTAACATATGCATTTCGGTTGTGAGAATCACTTAATTCATATCTTTTGAAACACAAGTTAGACTAAATTAGTTCAAACATCAAGTCATTTTTTTAACAGCTGGATTTTGTAAAAGAAGCTAGCAAACAACTAGAAAATTACAAAGCAATAACTATAAAAGAGTTTGATAACCAATAAACCCATTTAGAGAAACTTTCGAGTTTCTAAAAATAAAGCAATTAAAATAAACACCAAGTCATTTCATTAAAATATTTGATACAACATAATTATGTACACAACAAGTCATGTATGTAGCGTCAAATAATAATTACTATTATATAAGATTATAAATCACCATATTATATATATATATATATATATATATATATATATATATATATATATGTGTGTGTCTTTGTTCCAAAATTATCAATATATTTTGAGAGAAAGGAACATAAATTTTAGGAAAATATAAGAAAATTATTGCATTATTAGGTTAATTTCATTTATTCTACCATGAAAGATTATGGGCCATTATATAAATGACTTATATAGCATGACAATCTAGTTGAACTTAAATTTATAAACCCATATTGAACTATGATTACTATATCTTTTTGAATAAATTACAATTTCTGCTCTCAAGTTATATTAATATGTTAGGATGTGGTGCAGAAAAAATGTTGTTTTTCTTTTGGTCTCTCATGCATATATCTCATGTATTTGAAACCCTAACATAAATTTTCAAACATCTCATTTATTTGAAACTCTCACACATTTTCACCTTAAAGTAATTAATAACACTTCACACATTTTAAATAATTGAAAATTTGAACCTACGAATGGAACTATGGATGGTGAATTTAAAGCATATTATGAAGGAACAATTGATTTTGCTCCTACGTACTTATAAATATGTTCCCAAATGAAAATTTGCCAAAAATGATGAAACAAAACCTACTCCTGCATGGTAATTAAATCCTTTTATATTATTCATTTCATACATTCCACTTCTTTAGTTTTCTCCTACTGCATGGTAATTAAATCCCTCTATATCATTTCATTTCATAACTTCCACTCATTTAATTTGTATAATTTCAAATACTTTAAACGGATTAATAATTTAGTATGTGGTATAGAAAGAATGTTGTTTTTCTTTTTTGGTATAGTTTACTTATATTCATAAAATTATGACTTTAACTTTTTAACATATTATAATTAACTTATTAGTTTAAATATGTTGTTGTACGTGAGCAATTATCATTTTAAACTCACAACTTTTGTATAATTTATGATTTTATGAAAATAGTTTAATTATTAATTTCAATATAATGTTAAATGGTTAACTTAAATCAAAATTTTAGTTACACTTGAAAAAAAATCGAGAGACTATTTTCTAAATAATTAAAAGTTATAAATTATAGTGTTAAACCTAAATTGTAATCCTAAATTAACAAAAAAAACATGAAACTATTTTTTATAATCATTGATAATTTTCAAATAAGTAGCTTTAAAATAACTTACAACAAGAATATTTAAAAGTCATACTATATAAAAATTATAGTGTTATCTTTAAAAACAAAAGCAATGTTTGTTGTTTTAAATAATTACATCAAATAAACTCACAATATTCATTAAATAAATTTCAAAAAAGTTCAATTTCTGAAACCAAATAAAAATAATTAAGAGTTTAAGTTATCTTAAATAACTTACAACACCAATAGTTAAAAGTAACATTATATACAAAAATTATATTGTTACATTTAAAAACAAAAATAATGTTTGATTGTTTAAATAATTATAAAGATAAAAATTAAAATCTTAAGCAAATAAACTTTTTAAAGTTAATTAATCATTAAAAAAAAACTATAATTATCATCACATTGTATATTATATGTAGAATTATTCACGAGTAACCATAGGTAAAGGCCACTGAGATAATTGAGATTATAGAATTTTAAAAGATATTTATATTATCATATAATTCAAAACAAACAATGTTTATACGAACTTGTTATAAAATAGCTAACAACAACGTCAATGATATATTAAAAAAACATATATTTGTAAAGATTTCAAATATATTGTTATATTATGCGCAACGCGCAAATATTCGTCTAGTATTATAATAGAGACCAAAGTACTCTAACCATATTTATTTGAAAATGACAACTTTTCACCTTCTTTTTTAATTAATACTAATCAATGACTACAACTCAAAAACTTTATACCCTATGATACTTATAATCATGTTTTGTCTATATAAGACCATTATTTCTACCACTAGTTACCCACATTTTGTTTCTATTATTTTTCTACTATTATTTAAATTCTCCACTAACATAATGTTAATTGTCACTATTTGTGGTTTTATTAATTTCTTTATTGGTGTATAATGTTATTAGGTTTTTCAGCTACACGTTAACTCGAGAAGGGCGTGGAGAAGGTAAAAGCAATATGTAACACTCTGTCCCGAATCAATTCCTAATTCGGGGCAGCGACCCGAAGACCAGTTATCATAACGCTTGGGGCATTTGAGAAAGGGAGATTTAGACCCATTTGGGTGTGGTTAAGGTAGGATTGATGATCCGGGAAGTTCGATTTGTAATTTGGAGCCCAAGGGTATAACCGTAAAGTGGCAGTTGGGCCTTTTATGAATTTTGGATTTTTGTTCGGAAAGTTTTAAGGCAATGATAAGTTGATATAAGTGTAGAGTTTCTCTTTATCTTTCTGTTGATATAAGGATCGTGGAAAACGGACTTATAACAAAGAAATTATGGCCTTCAAAATTTTGGGTGATTTTAGGGTTTATCCGAGTACACGAGGCGTACACAAGCATATGCATGGCATACTAGTTAGAAGTCTAGTACGCGGGGAGTACTTTGGTGTACACTAGGCGTACTACACTAATGATCGCGGAAGCCTTAGGGAGTACGTTGGGCGTGCTCCAATTAGTCCCAAACCCTAATTTAGGGTCTTGGACCCTATTTAAGCACCTTAACTCACCACCAAACCCTAATATCTTCAGCCTCCATCCTCTTTAGCCATGGAAATGAATCCTTAGCCTCCATTAGTGTGACATTCCCATTTTCACGGCCAGAAAAGACCGATTTTTGTTTATGCTTTATAAAAATCAACCTCTTTTAATAAAAATGTTGCGGAATTTGTTCCCAGTAAAACATGATAAATACGTTATCAAAGCATTTCTGAAGAAAAATATTTTTATTCATTTTAAAACATTTGGGACGTCATCGTCGATACAAAAACATAAGCATAAACAGAACTTACATTCATTATCACTAGTGATTTATATCTCCTTCATCTCTTAGTGTAATGTGATTTTATAACAACACCTGTGAATAAATAATCTGAGTGGGTCGGGTTGGGAAACCTGGTGAGTACATAGGGTTTTCAACCCACAATAATATAATTATTATGTTTAAACAATCAAACAATCGACCCAATTACCCATCCCCATTATCTTCTTTACTCTTAAGGGTCTATCCTAAGAGTCATCTATCCCGCATTCGTTCATTCTGAAGTCCTTTGCTTCCAGAGTTATAGGACTGGCACTAAATCCATAGTTGTCAATGCTCGTTCGTAAAACACTAATCCCATAGATGTTGGGTACTAAACCCATAGCTACCAGTGTTTATCTAATAGGTACTAAGTCCATAGCTACCAATTCCTAACAGGTACTAAGTCCATATCTACAAGTGTTTGTCCAATAGGCACTAAGACCATAGCTTCCGATGTTATTTGTTAGGCACTGAGTCTATAGTTGCCAATGGTTACTCAAATCATCTTTTATCTCTCATCATCCATCTACCCATCTCATACCCAACATACTTGTATATTTAAAATACGTATAAAGTTCAAATCATTTAAAAAATTTAAAAAAAAAAAACAAAAAACGTTCATCCAGCATAGACAACAAGTATTCATATAATATGCAAACATAACACGTATTTTATATAAAATACTTCATATCTATGTGTAAGATGAAAGTAACTATGCACTCACTTGAGAAGGTGGTGACTCGGTACTCGGACAACGCTTCGTGTACTTTAAAATAATTTCCTTCGATGAAACCTAGTATTATTACCACTAGATTTTAGTCTAATATTTACCGTGACTAATTATTATTATTATTATTATTATTATTATTATTATTATTATTATATAAGCGTTTAAACAATACTTTCCAACCACTATGTACAGACAGGGACCAGACATAAAACACCGGAGGGCAGGACCATTTTGGCGTATAGCACTTCTGAAATCCAACAACGCAATGCGGCCCTTTAAACCAAATTTCCCGTACCGCGAGTAGTTAAAAAGATATTATAACGACACTTATATAAGTCATAATAATAGCTCAAATATTTATTATAAATTTATGATAACAATGCTAATTTTAAATATAAACTATATTTAAAATAGGGTAAACATAACTTACTTACAAGGGGATTTTAGCTAGGAGTCGGGCTCTGCAGGGGCAGAACTTCGTCGTTGAATCTTTCTAAGAAAGATTTGTGCAGCACTTCAGCGCTCACCTTACTATACTAAAAACAACAGAAAGAGAAGTCGAATCATGAGGGACCAAAATGCTCGGGGGATAAGGAGAGAAAGACTCTTCAATCAAGAGAATGGTGCAAGAAATATGAGAGTCCAAGGCTCATATTGTAACACCGAAAATTTCAAACAAATTTTTCAATTTTTATAAAACATAATTCCATCGATATTCATAAAAACAACCATTTTAATTATCCAACAAAACAGTACAAAATCC